TGGAGCTGTACTACAAGCAGCTCAGTGTCCACCCTGATTAGATGCTTCTGTTGGGCATCTCCCCACTTGTGGCCTTTGCCCCTGAGAGCTTTTAAAAGGATGTAAAGACTGAATTTCACTTATCTCCAGAGCCATTTCCTTCTGAGTGCTACTGTTATACCTCAGACAGTATGAAAGAAAGCGTATTAAAAGACAGATTGACTTTTCAGTCTAATCCAATCTGGGGAATTTGCAGAAATAAAGGAGTTAAGTTAGTACTTTGCTTCTCATGCACTAGCCCAGTGTCACAAATAGTCACTCTGTCCTGCACATTCCTTCCTGCATAACACTCTGGGCACACTAGCCTCCAGCAGAGACCAGCTGTGTGTGTTAGGCCTGGTATTTGTCAGCTGTGGTGGTTCCTGTTTGAGTTCTGTTGCTGGTTAAGGTGGAAATGGGTTTATACGTGGGCACAATCCAGTTGCTGTTGGCCTGGGACATCTGTAGCACATGTATTTTGCCTGGAGGAGACATGTAATTCCTGACCTCTGTGGGCTGGCCCCCATGCTGGCTCTGTGGAGGATGTGAAGCTATGGCAAAGCTTTGGAATTTCAGTTCTGGAGAGATTATCTTGAACTTTCAGTTCAGAGTCTCCCTGCTCAGCTCCTGTGTGCCAGCTCTGAGAGCAGTCCCTGGGGAAATGCCACAGGGCAGGACTCAGTCCTCAGCAGCAGGCCAGTGGATCTCCTCCATTTGCATGTAATTGCAGCTTTCCTTTGGCTTGAAAGTTTTCGAAAATCATCCTGTTTTGCAATTCCTACCTTTGTCCCTGCAGACAGCAGCAACAGAAACTGAGGTGAAGGGTGATACCTATAGACATTTGGGGCTTGGCTGACCCCAGGTGACTGTGCTAGTGCCCCTGAGCTGCCAAGACCAGTCACCCATTGGAAATACAGCCCACAGGGCAGCAATCCCTCTCAGATGACCACCCAGAGGGGATAACTAAAGGTGTTTCTGAAAGGCTGCAGTGGTATTGCTCAAGCCTGTGGGGCAGGAGACATCCCTTCTGCCCTGCATGCAGACCCTCAGCTTCCTCCTGGCTTTAACCACGGAGGCAACTGCCCCAAAAGGTCTCAAGGCTCTTCCAGGGCCTCTGCAGGGAGCCAGCCCCTTGCTGGGGACTGCATGGAGCAGGTTGCTGCTCCCTCCATCAGCACCTGGGCTGTGGCTGCCACCAGGACTGTTGTGTAGAGCTCGGTGAATGCAAGGCTCTGCTTCTGTCAGTGCCTGTGAGACCAGAAAGCTCTTGAATCCTGACCTTCAAACTTCATCCCCCTTCACCCCTGTTCCCCTTGACTCCTGTTGCTGCCCAGATTTTCCCAACAGCTGTCCTCTGCCTCGCTGGCTTTGTGCCTAGATCAATCTCTCTGCCCTGCATGTGCATCTGTGCAGTGACCCCACTCATTCCCCAAGGTCCTCGAGTCCCTGCAGCCTCCATCCCCTGAGACCCAGGATCTGTGCAGCCCCTTGTGCCTCTGTCTGATGGAGGGAGTTCCAGGCACCTCCAGCTCCACTGGGTTTGGTGATCCTGCTGCCATGGAGTGAGCACTGCAGGGTTTGGACCTCTTCTCTTTCCATTTGTAAATCCCCCCAGCACAAACAGGGCTTGGTAAATAACAGTGTGATGAAGGGGTTTAGATGGAAGAGATCTGACAGCCCCCATTGAATGTGATCTGAACGCCCAGCCCTGTTCCCTCTCCTCGCTGCATGCAGCAGCCCCCTGCTCCTTAGGGCATAAATTACTTACCATTCCCTATAGAATTGAGGGCATGGTTAATTCACCAGCACGTTCCTGCTGCCCAGCAAAAAATTATGAGGCTCTCTCTCCTCCCCTGGCTAGCAGAGCTGCTCGGTACATCTGCTGCCTGGCGGAGGGAGGCAGAAGCTTTTTATTGTCAGGTCCTCTGCTTATTTCTTAGTCTTAGGTCTTGTCTGACTCTTCAGTGGAACTGGCAAGGTGCAAATGTTGGAATGTTTGCAAGTGGAAGTCAGAACTAATGTCCGAACACCTTTCTTGTAGTAGCTGGAATAGCCGGCCGCAGGAGGCAAATGGAGATTTCCTGGTCTGAGCTCTTCCTGACCACGTGTGACTTCGTTTTAGAGCAGCCATTCGGTATCTCCTGGGTCCCATCTGGAGCCTGAGTGGGAAATTGTGCTCCTAGCAGTATTTTGAGATGTAAAAAATCACTAGTGTGGAATGGCTGCGAAGGATGCTCAGTGCACAGGGAGCAGGCTAAACAAAATATGTCCTTAGGGCTCACCACTGTGTGAGAGAGGCAATGTGATGTGTGATTTTTGGGCTATTATTAATTCAACAAAGAGAGCAGTGGGGCTCAGTGGAGGACTTGGGCTGGACCTGCAAAAGCCTCTGTAACAATATGATACACAGCACTTCTCCCTGGGAGGCATCCAAAGCCTCATTTGTGGAGCTGAATTCTTGTTATAAATCATGGGGCACGTGACGGGCTGCATTCATTTAGGCTGCCTCTTCTGCATCCTTCCTGGAAGCTCATCTAATAAGAGCTGGCCTCTGGATGCTCGAACCTTGATGTGCCACCGTTTGTTAATTGCTGGCAGTAGAAGAGCTGCTTTTTTTGCCTTAAAATGTGGAATCCCTTCCTAGAATTGCACTTGGGACTAATAAAAGCCTGTGCCAGGTTTAATATATTCTATCTCACAAATTATCTGGATTAAATACAAGGGCTGTATACTGCCAGAGAGGGGATATTCCCAGTTTAACATTGCTTCTGGGCCTTGGAGATCCCAAGACACTGAACCTGAAAATTGTGATTCTCTTATGTGTGGAGGAGGGGTTTGGCAGCAGTGCTTGGAAGTGGTCATGTTTGGCTGAGTTAGAGATTTAATTGCCATAAAAACTATGATTTTGTAACCAATAGTTACAGCTGCAGGAAAGATCAGAAAGCATCTGAATAAATCAAATTAACTACCTCCTGCTCCATCTATATGAGAGCAGAACCTTTCAGGGCAGGATTTAAAACACAGCCTGGTTGACCCTTAACTCTCCCACCTACGGATTGAGGAGAGTGAATAGTCTAGAAATACGATCGACTGAAACAAGAGATAGAAGGGACTGTTGTGCTGGATTATGTGAGGAGGCTGGTCTCAGTCAGGGATGGGGATGGGTAAATGCAGAGGAGGGCAATGAGGAGGTAGCCAGCTCCTGTGAAAATATCCCAGACTCACAGAGGCCTTTGGGCTGCGCAGTCCAACACCCCCGTTAATGGGCAGACAGTGGGCCCTGTTAATTGCTGCACTAGCCCACACCTTGACTCGCTGACTCCTGACTCTGATGTTCCTGATGCCCTAAGGCAGACGGATCACTTCACCTCCCATTGTAGCTCGTATCTCTTTGCGTGTCTCACTCTGGCTGTTGTTCTCCTCACGAGCCTTGGGATGATGTGGCGAGTCCCGACTCACGCCTGACCTTCCAGATTTCCCACCACTCTCCGTTGCGTGCCGGCGAGGAACGTCAGCTTTGGGAGATTTTGAGTTTCTCGCTTTTGGCCGATCCTCCCTCACGCTCCCCGTCAGAGACAAACGCCTCCCCAGCTGCCTCGCCCCTCGCTCCGGGGCAGGGGCTGCGGCTCCGCGGACCCCCGCGCCTTCAGCAGCCGGCGGCGCTGGAACAAGCTTCCCGGCGGGGCGGGACCCCCGCGGGCGGCGAGCGGGGCCCGGCCGCCCCTCCCAGCCGCCCCCCTCCCTCCGGCCCACCCAGCCTGGCCCTACAATCGCCCTCCCGTCCCGTGCCTCCCTCCGGTCACTCCTGTCCCCTCCTCCCGCCGACCTCGTCCCTGATCTCCGGCCGTTCTGTCGTCTCCTTCGCAGCCCCCCCATCCCGACCCTCCAGTCACCCCCCTCCTCCAGCCAAACCGCGGCTCTCCAGCCGCGCCCTCCTCCGTGCCGTCCCGTCTCGTCCCTCCGGCCACCCTTGGTCCTCCTCCGGCCGCCCCCGTCCTGGATCTCGGCCGTCCCGTCCTGTCCCTCCGGCCACTGTGGCCATCCCGTCCCGTCCCTCCTCCGGCCACCATGTCCCCGATCTCCGGCCGTCCTCTCCTGTCCCTCCTCTGGCCGCCCCCGTCCCTGATCTCCGGCCATCCCATCCCCTCCCGTCCCGTCCCTCCTCCGGCCACCACGTCCCCGATCTCCGGCCGTCCCCTCCTGTCCCTCCTCTGGCCGCCCCCATCCCTCCGGCCGCCGGCGCTGCAGCTTCCCCAGTCCCCTTTCTCCCAGGAGACCCTCCCTGCCGCCCTGCCCTCTCCTGCCCGAGCTGCCCTCTGTGAGCGTCTGTTCTGCGATGTGCAGCGAGCCGAGAGGCAGAGGGCAGCCCAGGAGGAGGGGTCTGGAGAGAAGTTCATAGGGAGCCCTGCAAGAGAGGGGGATGTGTGTGGTGCTGTGGGGGATGAGCCGAGGCTGCCAAGCAGAAGGTTTTCCCCAGGACTGAGGAGGATGAAGGACCAAATGCTGTCATCTCTCCCAGGACATGGTGTCCCTGTGCTTTGAAGGGGGCAGCAGCTGTTGGAAGGTGCTTGAAGGTCTGACCTGCTGGCAATATATCCCTCTCTCAGAAGAACTTTTTTCCCTACTCCTCCTGCTTCCTACCCCCTTGGTAGTGTGAATTTTAAGTAAATTTTGGTTCTGGTGGGATTCTGGTACAAGACTGGGAGAGTTTCCAGTCTCCACTGCCTCCTTCCCAGCAGCCAAGGCCATGGGGTCTTTGGGACACATCAGGCCTGAGGAGGGGACCAATGCCCAGAGCCATGCTGTGACCCTGCTCCTGCCCCAGGGCTCCCGGGCACCTGTAGGAGGGCTGAGGAGAGCCCTTCCTCTCTGCTGCCTGGCCTGGATTGCCTGTGCTGGCATGGCCAGGGGAGAGGCAGAGCACCACGAAGGGCTGGGTTCATTGCTCAGCTTGGTGACATCCCACTTTTGTCTCCTCACAGGCCAACCCCGCTCCCATTATCGTGAACACAGACTCGCTGGAACAAGGGCTCTCTGTAAGTCTCCCGGTTTCGTTTTGCTTCCTTTGATCAAGTGGTGCATTTGCCCTGCTCAGCAATGCAGGAAAGACTTTTCCAGCCCAAGGGGGCCCTGGTGAGGCGGCAGAGGAGCCTGGTACCTGCACCACGTCCCCACAGCACATCCCACCCCCAAATCTCGCTGGGTGATACTGTGCAGAACCAGGGCTGGCAGCAAGCGATGCTGGAGACTCCAAGCACACCGAGGGTACAAGGCAGAAGGCCTTGGCAGAGGAACTGCTGGGCTGGGTGCATTCAGGGTTAATCATACAGTCATTTACTCCACCTCCCATGCAGGTTGGCTGGGAGGCTCTGCTGAGGCATCTCTTACCTTCCTGCACTGCCTCAGCCTCCTTAGGCAGCCCCAGCCCCTCAGGAGGGAGGCAGGGCTCTCTGGGTGCTTTCTGGCACCACACTCCCCAGTCTTCAGGGCAGCAGGACCCATCAGATGCTGCTCCTCTCCCAGTGAAGGCTGCCAGCAGCTGAGCAGTGCTTGGTGCCTGTGTTTGCAGCCACAGTGCATTTGGCACTCTTGGCATAGTGTAAAGATAATCTTTCTCAGTTTGTTGCAGGGTTTGCACACTGTTGCATCCCTTCCCAGAACATTTGGAAATCATTCATGCTGGGGGGATGGAGGAAGGAGGATGGCCAGGAGGGTGGCCAGCATGGATTTCTGGCCAGCAGCACTGGCTCCACACTTGTGGGGTGCTCCCCTTTTCATTTGCCCAAAGGGAGCCCAGTTAACAGCTTGACAGGGCTGGATGCTTTGCATCTGGTTTTCTTCTGGTACATGAAACTTCAGCTACCTTCAGCTACCTTCAGCTACCTCACATTAATGAAGAGGCACCAGGACTCAGAGCTGGGGTGGGTTTGTCTTTGGAGTCATGGTAGAGGGCTGCAGGGGACTTCTGGGGATTGAATCTTCCTCGTAGAGAACTGCAGATCTCAGCCCACAGCCTGTGGTGGGGTCAGGACACATTAGAGCTGTGCTGGGCTGGTTGGGCAGGGCTACAGAAAGGAAGGGAGGCCTGGCTCAGACCTCTACAGCCCTGGCTATGTGATTTAATTATCTCCCCAGGCAGGTTCCCAAGCCCTGCAGAAGCCAACAGCAGGGTGCCCACCTGGGGGGCAGCAGACACCTCCTTCCACGGCAGTGGACTCCACTTTCCTGCCCTCCTGACTGCCTCCCTCTACTCCAGCTCATTAACTCATATCCTTCCCTCTCCCTCCACCTCCATATCCCTGTCCATGCCTTCTTCCTGCTGCAGCTCTTTCTTGCTGTGCTGGATGGGAGCTCCCTTCCTGCAGCCCCTAGGGTGGGTTTGGCCGTGTTTCAGGGGGTGCTCTGCAGCCCTGACAGGCACCAGCATCACCCTGGGGATGGCAGTCACTGATCCCATCCATCCATCCTCAGCAGCACATGCCAGGAGGGACTGTCCTGCAGGGGTCAAAAGGCCAGCAGATTGTGGCTGTCATTTTCTGGGCAGATTGGGGACCACCAGCTCTGTACCCAGCTGTGTACCTGGGGTGCCTGGAGGAGCCTGTGCCCAGGGCAGGGGAGATACCTCACTTTGATTCCTTTCAGTCTCCAGCCTGGAAACCCTCTTGCCTCCTACTTCGTGTTATACCAGGAGAGAAACGAGCCCTGCTCCATCTTTTCCTTCTCTGGAGTGCTGGATTCCTCAGGCTCCAGAGAAAACACCCCCTCAAAACCTCAGCAGTTTTTAAGGTCAGCAAAGGAGCCACACCAGGAGCTTGCTGCAAAATCCAAAATGCCAAATCAGTGAGCATGTTTTTTCACAAACCCAAAAGCTGAAGCCTGTTGGTACCGGGTGTATTTGGAAGGGTTAAAGTCACATCTTCCAGTCTTTAATTACTTAACTACTCAATGCTTTCTGTAGTGATAAACAGATGGATGTAGTCTAGTTCCTTCCTGTTCTAGCTCCATTGATTGCACTGGACTAGCTGCTGGGCTGGATTTGGCCCCGACTGTTTATCAAGAAGTCTGTTCTGCATTTCAATGTCCCTGTCCACCCACTTCCATCCCCAAGAGCACCAGCAGCACCATAGCACTGGAGTGGCTTGGGCTCAGCTCTGTTGCCTGTGGCTTGTACAAAACCCAGCACCCCCACAGTGTAAAAACACAAATAAACCATTATAAAATGCCTGCAGTATTAAAACCATCCTTTGAAGGATAAGGATGGGTGCCTGGGGAGATCACCCACGCAAGCCCCAAGGTCACTGCTCACAGTTTCCACCCTGTATTTTGCCCAACAGGTCCATAGCAGGGAGATGGAGAATCGGAAACAGAGTTCCCATGGCAGATGGGGTCTCTGCATTTCAGAGCAGCCTGTCTAAAGCTGAAACAACTTCTTACTTCCAGGCAGTCTCAAAGTGAGCAGGGAAGGTCACTCCAAAGCCCTTGAGGAGTTGATGGTTTCAGAGTCTGGGTCCTTGGAGCCAAGCAATGAGGTGCCATCACCTCCTCAGTTTCTAAAAGCCAGGTGTGAGGAAGCAAAGTGCTTCTCAGGCCTGATCCCAGCCCACGAGCACCACAGGAGCCCAAGGCTCTGCCACCAATTAACACAGAGGCAGCCTTCTTGTGCGGGGAGTCAGCAGTGCTGACTCTGCTGTTGGGGTCCCCAGCCGTGGTCTCTGCAGCGTGGGAGACAGCAGAGATGGCCATTGAGCGGGGCAAACTTGCTTGTAAGGCTGAAAAAAAACAGAAAAAAATCAAAACTAAACTGCCACCCTCATGCTTTGGTCCCAAGTGCTGGCAGCAGCGCATCCCACTGCCAGTTCCTGCAGACAGTGTGGCTGCACAGTCCTCCCAGCTGTTGCTGGGGCTGTCACACTGCAAACCCCTTCCCTCTGCCCAGGCTCAGCAGGTTGGCCCTCACGGCCCTCTGGCAAAAGGCTGACCAGAAATAGGGCATTTAGGACATTTATATACTCTGTGCACAAGGCCAACACCGTGGGCAATGTACACCAGGGGTTGAAGCCAGGGGTTAGCTGGAAGCAAGTCAGTAGGTCTCAGTGCTGCGGCAGGACATGTGGATGCAGGGAGGTGAAGGGAAGGAGCTCTTGACCTATTTTCCTGGGCCCCCTGCCATGTGCAGGCAGGGAGAGCTCTCCCTCGCCAGCAGTGTCGGTGCCCATGCCAGCAGGGACATGCCCATTGCTCCTGCTGCTCCCCTTTCCTCTTTCTGGAGCGGGCGTGGGGCATCACCAGGTGCCCTCCACCCCCAGCTCTGCCTGGCACCACCAAGGGCTGGCTCTCCAGCCTTTGGACCCTCTTCATTATGTTGATACACATCTGTTCCACCAGCAGGTCCCAGTGCTTGTCCCCATGGCATCCCTAACCACAGGGTGTGGGCTAGATCCTGCTCTGAAAGGGGCTGTGGGCAGTGTCACCCTTCCTGCAGGTTATTTTCTCCTGCAGCCTGGTGGGCTATTCAGGTTGCATTTGAGGAACCCCATCTTAGTCTTCTAAATTTGGCCTTCTTTTTTATTTAAAAAACAAGTGAACGCCACCACCACCACCACCCCCCCCAAAAAAAAAAAAAAAACCAAAAGAAAAGAACCAGAAAACCCACCCCCAAATCCTGACTCTCCAGCAAATTGCAGAGCGTGTTCCGCGTGCGCTGTTGCGGTGTTGGCCGGCGGAGCCTGCAGACAGCTTGCAGTAGCTCTGGAAGGTGTGTGCTCTTCTGTTTATCAAATGAGTGTTGACTCTGCAGCCTTCTGTTGATGATCTAAATGCCGTCATTGGTAACTATTTCCCTGCTGCTCAAAACACGACGGGGAAGTGAAGGCCAGCAAAGGCGCCTCTTCCTGAGCCCTCAGGTGGGCTTGTTGCATGGGAAGGGCTTGGAAAAAAGTACCATTACTCTTTTCCATGAGGAATCAGGTGATTCTTAGGATCAGAATAGGCAGGGAACAGCTGATTCAGTACCTGTCCAGCCCCTGACACCCCTGTCAGCTCTGCAGGTGCTACATGAGGAGAGGAGAGCAGGGTGGAGTGTGCTCTCCCTGCCTATGGGAGATGGAGCCAGGCATCTTCCCACCAAACCCATAGCGCTGAGTCGGCCCCAAACAGGAGCTGGGGAGGAGCACAGGGCACTGGCAAAAGACAGGAGGAACAGCCTGTGGCAGAGCCAGGCCATGGCAGCTCCGATGGGTGTCATGGGGAGGTTTTTGCCGTCAGCGAGTGACTGGTATTTGATTTTCCGACACTGGAACGTTTGCTTTGTTGGCTCGTTCCCTTGGTTACGTGGTATATATTAAGTTCTTCATTTGGCTTCCTTATACAATTAACTGGCATTTCGTTGCATGGATTTTGGAAACACAATCAGAGCTGAAACTTTGTGGTCAGGCCTGGCTGACCCCAATGTGCCTGGCCAGAGCAGGCTGCTCCCAGCAGACACCACTTTGAGCGAGCACCGACACTGCTGGCTGTCAGGGAGCAGTGCAAAACACTGCTCAGCGTTGGCAGCCCTGAGGTTTGGGGACTGGGGATGCCCCCGGCCCCCCTGCCTGGCAGCGGGGTGCCTGACGGGGTTGAGTGCTGGGGTGTCTGTGCACCCCGGGCGCCTGCCAGCTCGCGCGCTGCTGGCTCTCGCCACGACTCACAGATTGTCAGAGTTTTCTGCAGATCCCCATCCTGTAGGGATGTGTACACTGTTCCTCCGAGGCCGTGGGTGTGCATATGGCTGGCTGTGTGGCAACTGTGCTGAATGCCAAAGCAGAGAGGACAATGTGTGTAGTAGCAAAGGGTGCCAGGAATCTGAGTCGCTGGAAAGCTGGAGAGAGGTGACGCCGCGCCCCACGCACCGGGATACCAACTGCAGGGATGAGCTGAGCCCGAGGGCTGCGCTGAGAGAGGCTGTGAGGGCGGCACGGGCCAGTGAGCCGGCTGCACTTAGGATTAGTCAGGACGGCAGGACGAGAGGAGTGAAAGGCAACTCATGCAGGAGGGGGAACCTGTGGCGAGGGAAGCAATGCCCCTCTGCCCTCAGGAGTACAGCCCAGGGCAGCACTGTGGCAGAAGGTGGCACTGGCCATGTGTCCCTGTCCCTCTGAGGCTGTCAGAGATCCTGCTCTGGTTTAATCCCATCCCTTTCAGTGCTTTTCTGCCTCAGGATCCTTCTTTAAGAGGACCAAAGCCTTTCCCAATGTGCTGGGAGGATCTGAGCATTCTGCTGTTGGGGCATCTGAATGTCCCAGCTCTGAACTCTGCCCTGAAATCTTCCAGTGGCTGAGAGGCACCAGGCACAGAGCATATCTGAGAAGGAACAACCCTCTCAACCTGTGTTCCCTGGAGCCTCCATCCCATCTCTCTGCTCTGGACTCTCCCCAGCCTTATCCTTGAAGCGCAGTACCCACAACAGGGTGTGGGATTTCTTTGCCCTCCCAGGACAGGGGATGAGGGTGAGTGTGTCACAGGTGGCACAGCCCCATCCCAGATCCTGGCCTGCAGAACTGCTCCTCCACCTGGACCCCTGATTATTGCCAGCTAGAAAAACTCCTGCCTGCTGAGTCTGGGGTCCCATCACCTCTGCCTGGTCGATCAGAACTGACTGTGTCCTGTCACCTGTTTCCCAGAGTGACTCAAATTATGAGAGTGAGTTCGGTCCCCTCCAAAAAAGCTATGAGTCAGCAGCGTGCCCTGGCAGCCAAAAAGCACCATGTCCTGGGGTGCTTCAGGCCCAGCATCACCGGCCTGGTGAGGGAGGGGATTGTCCCGCTCTGCTCTGCACTGGGGTGGCCTCACCTCGAGTGCTGGGGGCAGTTTTGGGCACCACAATGTAAGAAGGATATAAAGCTATTAGAGGGTGTCCAGAGGAGTGCTACAAAGGTGGTGAAGGGTCTATAGGGGAAGCCATATGAGGAAAGGATGAGGTCACCTGGCTTGTTCAGCCAGAGGAGGAGACTAAGGACAGACCTCATCGGGACCTGTGGCTTCCTCACGAGGGGAAGACGAAGGGCAGCACTGATCTCTGCTCTCTGCTGACCAGTGAGAGGACCCAAGCCTGAGGCTGTGTCAGAGGAGGTTTAGGCTGAATCTCAGGAAAAGGTTCTTCCCCCAGATGGTGAACAGGCTCCCCAGGTCAGTGGTCACAGTCCCAAGGCTGCCAGAGCTCAAGAAGCATTTGGACAACACTCTTAGGCCCATGGTGGGATTCTTGGGGCTGTTCTGTGCAGGGCCAGGAATTGGATTTGATGACCCTTATGGTTCCCTTCCAACTCAGGATATTCTATGAAAACTGTTGCTGTTGAGTGTAACAGCTCTGGATGCTCCAATAGCCAATTGCTTTGCAAATCTTGTTAAATTTTGGACGTTAGCAGCTGTTTATGGTCTGATCCTGATGACGTGGAGTGAACCTGCTGCCTTGTTTTCCTGTGTATGGCTGGTTATGAGAAAAATGGATTTTTTTTTTTTGGCTGTACATTTACCATTTTAGAGCCTACAGTTGCATCCCTTTTGTTTGTATCCATTATGTTTCTGAGAGCTCTGCTTTAACACTCTGAGTATGGAAGACCTTTAAGTGTGGGGATCAGTATGGTGTACAGCACTGAGACAGGCTACACCATTTTTGTATATAAGGGCAGCACGATGTTTTCACCTCTCGCTGTGCCCCACTCTCACACCTTGTTTCCTTTGCACCCAACTAATTTCATAGAATGAATTATTCCGAATTTTCCGTTAATACAATCATGCTACTAAAAGATTTTAAAAATATAAGCTGCTAAAGGTGTTTATTATGTTATTATGTACAGACATTTTTTTCTTTTAAATGGACCGACCCCCTCTCTTCCTTTCCTCCAGCAGTGAATTCCTGAGGTTAATTATATGCCGCGTAACAAAGGTGTTATTTCCTTTTGTGCCTTCAGTTGAGTTCCTTTTCACGGCTGAAGAAATGAGCTGGGAGAATAAAGGCTTTGCACTGAAGTGCATTAAAGTCAGTGGGCTTTGGCTCATACCCAGGAAGAAAAGCAGCACATGGTTTAATTCCAGGGCAGGCTCAAGCAGTTGCATTTAAGGTTTTTTCAGCGGTGATGGTGCAGCTTTTTGGTTGGATTCTTCATATTCAGCTGTCAGAAGGGAAAAATGAATTCCCCAAGGACCAGCACATAGTCGTAACACGCTGTCTCCCTCTCTCCAGATGAATGGCAGTGATGGGATGTTCAAATATGAGGAGATCGTCTTGGAAAGGGTAAGTACTCTTTACTCACCCGCCAGCAGTCTTTGCTGCCTCTTCCCACTCACCCACCCACCAGCACAGCCAGCCCCCCAGGCATCCCTGCACCAGCTGATGGGGAGGGGTTGGTCGCTGCTCCCTGCTCTCTCTGGAGGTTTTTGCAGGTGTCGCACTTGCTTTGCCTGCCTGGCCCTGCAGCACGGGGAGAGGTGGGCTTGCTGCTCCCCTCTCCCCCTGCAGACCCCTCCAGAAGGCAGGGAGGAGGGCTTCTCCCTTGCCTCCCTCTCTCACACCCCCACCCACACAAACCATCAGTGCAGTGGAGGAGGCTCTTTGTCATTGCCTTTGCCAGCAAACGGAGGTGCAGGGAGCTCTGCTTGTGCTGGCACTCAGGTAGGTGCACCCCACACCTGGGCACAGGGGACGGATGCCACCCCGCCACCAGACTGCCCACTGCTCTGGGCTACACAGCCTTGGGATGCTAAGCTGCAAGAACAGGTTTTATAGTAAAACAAGCCACAGTGGGAGAAGTTTCTGCTGAAGCCTTTTCTTTGTTGGCAACACAGAGGTGATGGCATCCGCTGCTAAACTCAGCTCCCCCCACATATGGGGTTTACCCAGGGGCAAGCCAACACCACAGAGGGCAGGGAGGGCTTTCCCTTGGTGCCCAGGAAGTGAGTGGGATGGAGGGATGGAGAGGGAGTGGGAAAAGCAGGCCCAAGGTTTACTCCAAGAGGCAGGCACAGCCCTGCTGACGGGATGGCCGGGGTGGGAGGCTGCCCACGGCGCTCCACGGCACACCTTGCCTCCTCCTCAGAGCCGTGCCAGCCTCGCCGCGTGGCCAGCATTGCAGGGGGAGACGCATCGCTCATTATTCTGTTCCTCTCTGCCTTTAGTCATCTCCCTCCTTCCCTTGGCTCTGCATCACGGAGGTGGGTGGACGGAAGGTTATCTGGGGCTGCCGCCTCACCCACCGCTTCCCCGGCATGCCTGACGAAACCAGCCCAGGGGATCCTTCCTTTTTGGGCTAAGCAATTCTTGCTCCGGGCCCAAGGTAGAGGCAAAAGCCTCATTTTCAGGGATTCTTCAGAGCATCCTCTGTCCTCGGGGCTGAGGGAACATGGGGAGAGCTGGCAGGACCACACAGAGAGGCCCCCATTGATGCCCCACACTTATTGATGCCCTCGTTTTAAAGCCCCAGGCAGCAATTCCCTCTCCAACAGCATGAGAAAATTTCAGTGATTAGCAGCCAGGATCAGCATGGACCATACTCAGGTCCTTTCCCTTCAGTTTATCCCCAGTGGGATCCAACAACCCTTTCTTAATGCAGGAGAAGCACCCTGGTGCCTGCAGGTGAGGCTGTCCCCTTGCTGGGAAGTTTGGTTTCCTCAGTGTACCCCAAAATTGCTGGTCTGTGACTGTCATTAATCCTTGTCTTTGTTGTAAATGCAAGGGTAAATGCAGCAGCATTTTGGGGGCAATAATTGAGGAAACACCATCTGCACAGGGACATGGCTTTGGGTTTACCCACCATACATGTGTCCTCTGCAGGAACTACCCCTGTGTCTGCATCAACCCTGATGCCAGCTAAGAAATCCCTTGAACTGCATTTTGAGGTTTATCAAAATAAAAATTAACACCTCCCAGATGATTTCCAGGTGTTGTAGCTAACAAAGGACAGGCACAACAAATGAGATCATTTTGCAGTCTCACTTGCCTTGCTGTGCCCAGGCTGGGTCTCTGTGACAATAAGGAGCTTTTTTGAGTTGCACACAGGGTAACCAGAATCTATCTTGGAGAAAAGAGAGCGGCCCCAGGCCCTTTGCTGTTGAGTGCCTCCTTGTCACGTGCCAGCCAAATTCCAGCTGGCGGGAAAGTATCCAGGAGCATTGCACAGTGAGAGGCATTGGTGGCTCCTGGTGCTGTGTCATGAGTGTCAAATTGTGAGAGCAGAGACTTCTGCATCACTGCAGGAGCTGATGCTGGGACCAGATTGCTGGGGAGAAGTGCAAGCCCCAGCTGGCTGTTGGTGCTAAGTGATCCCAGGGAGCCTGAGCTCCAGTGTGGCCCTCCTGGCCACAGCTCCCCTGGAAGGGCAGAGCACCCCATCATCTAACACCAAGCACTGAGGCTGTGGGCAGCCAGGGGAATGCTTGGCCTGAGCCCACTTGTGTATGAGAAGCAGGCATGATAGTATGTGACTAAGTGTTAGCTCTTCTGCATGAGAAAACAAGACTAGGAGCCATCTGATTTTCAAGGCAGAGCAAAAAAAGCAGGAATTGTCCACTTGCATCAAGCATGGATCTGGAAGCAACGCCTGTGAGTGTGTCACTAATGAGGATCCTGCAAGTGGGAGAGGCGGCAAAGGGCCACAGCCACTCAGTCCTGAGATGTTGTGGGAATGGGTTGGAGATGAGCTGTGGCCTCTGCATTCCCCCCAGGCATACTCCAGCAGGAGAAGCTTAAGTGATGCTCCAAGCATGTGTGTGAGGAAGAGGAGGCGTAACTGGAGACCCCACTCCATCCTGATAGCCACCTCCACCCAATCCTGCAAATTTTGGCACCAGCATCACTGGTCCCCCAGCTTGGCTCTGTGCCAGGGCTACATCCCAGGGGTGTAGGGAGGCAGGGGTGGGATGCTGGTGACTGGCACAATCCCCGCTGGTCCGTGCGGCTGCGGCGTCAGTCTCTCCTCCTGGGGAGCAGCCAGCAAGGGGAGGTTTTCTCCGCCAAGGACCACCTCCTCTTTCCCCAGCCTGCCTCAGAGTCTCTCCGTGGAGACGCGGTGGTGAGGGAGGTCCTCGGCGGCTCCCACTCTCCCACTCCATCTGTTCAGCGCTCCACGCTGCGCCGAGCGCTCGGCTGATGAACGCTGGCCTCTCCTCCAGCCGCGCATCCCTCTGCCCCCTGGGCCAGCCACCCTGGGGTGGGACGGATGCTCTCGGGGCTCCCGCGCCCCAAACAGTCCCGCAGCTGAGGGGAACCATTCCGGGAGGGCCGGCAGCGAGTGGTTGCCCATGGGGGAAAGACACAGCATTTGATTTCCCGCAGGGTAACTCCGGGCTCGGCTTCAGCATAGCGGGAGGAATCGACAACCCCCATGTTCCAGATGACCCGGGTATCTTCATCACCAAGATCATCCCCGGGGGAGCGGCAGCCATGGATGGCCGTCTAGGGTGAGTACAGAGCTGGGGGAGCAGCTCCATCAGGGTGTCACCCAGGATCTCAGCCCAGACCCTCTAGTCCCCTTCCCTACCATGGGCCCTGGCCCCTCTGTGTCTCTTCCCCACAGCTAGGTCCTCTCAGTACAGGGATGCCCCTCGGTCCTGGCCACCAGCCTCCTGTCTGTAGCCACCCCTCCTCCCCTCCCTGTGCGAGGTTCCTGCTCCCATCCTTCCAGCCACAGCCCAGGGCAGGATCCAGTCTTTCCTCTCATATCGCACCTCCACCAGGGTTGCACCATGAGGACCAGCCCCACTGCCTCCTGCTTTGGGAGGGACCATGCTCTCACCCCAGCAGGGCAGGATCTGGCCAGCTTGAGCAGCTTTCCTTTGTGCATCTGGAGGAGGGTGGCAGATGTAACCAGAGGAGGGTGGCACGGGCTGGTGGTTCCCCAGGAGAGCTCAGGGCCACACTGTGCCCACAGGGTGAATGACTGCGTGCTGCGGGTGAATGACGTGGACGTCTCCGAGGTTGTGCACAGCAAAGCTGTGGAGGCCCTGAAGGAAGCGGGCCCCGTGGTGCGGCTCGTGGTGCGGCGCCGGCAGCCCCCACCAGAGACCATCATGGAGGTTAACCTGATGAAGGGCCCCAAAGGTGAGCCCCTCACTCTGCTCGCTTGACTGGGGTGCCTCCCAGGAGGGTATGGGGTGACCCCTCGGTGTGAGATGCCAGGAGATGCGGGGCAGCATCGTGGGGCATGTGGGATGCAAGGTGGCACTGCCGCAGTGCAGGATGCTGCGGGGTGGCCCAGCAGTGTGGGATGCTGTGGGGCACAGGGTATGGGAAAGACCCACAGCGCAGTGAGTGGTGACTGGGCTGGCTCCAGGCAGCTGCAGGGTGGCCCATTGCCTGCTGAGTTTGGGACAGGGTGGGAAGTCCAGCGAGGCAGAGGGGCCGTGTGCCAGCCTGAGATTCTGTCCATCTGCGTGTCCCTCACCTGCCTTCTCACTCCTCCTCAGGCCTGGGGTTCAGCATTGCAGGGGGCATTGGGAACCAGCACATCCCTGGCGACAACAGCATCTACATCACCAAGATCATCGAGGGAGGTGCAGCCCAAAAGGACGGGCGCCTGCAGATCGGGGACCGGCTGCTTGCGGTAAGCCCCGTGGCCACAGCCAGCCGTGAGGTGAAGCTGGGCAGGCTCCACCATGCTGCAGTGCTGATCCTGAGCTCCAACACCCCTCCTGTCAGCAGCCTCATGCCCCTTCCTTTGGGTCCCCGCTGGGATGGTGCTGTGGGAGGGGCAGGAGCAATACTGGCTGCAGGCAGGGGGGCCAAACCCAAGGAGATGGGACCCTGTCTTTGGAGATACTGCAGCACCTACCCTGTGGAAAACTGCTCCCCTCCCGCAGGACTGCATTGGTCCCTGCCCTCCCACTCATCCATCTCACCCAGCCCTTTCCCTCCGGCAGGTGAATAACACAAACCTGCAGGACGTGCGGCACGAGGAGGCAGTGGCTGCCCTGAAGAACACCTCTGACATGGTGTACCTGAAAGTGGCCAAGCCCGGCAACATCCACCTCAACGACATGTACGCGCCCCCCGACTACGCCAGCAGTACGTACGCACTGGGCTGGGCACGGGGGCTGGGGGGCACGGAGTGTGCTGGGGGGCAAGAAATGCTGGGCTGGTCTGCATGTCCTCGTTGTGCATGGATTTCTGCTCCTGATGACCTTCTCCTCCCCTGCAGCCTTCTCAGCCTTGGCTGACAACCACATAAGCCATAACTCCAGTCTGGGCTACCTGGGCAGCGTTGAGAGCAAGCCTGCCTATCCCGTCCCAACCCAGGTGACTCCGTCCCGATACTCGCCTATTCCTCGGCACATGATTGGAGACGATGACTTCACCAGGTGAGTACTAGGCATGAGCATCCCCTAAGCCCTGATGCTTCTCCTTTCCTCTCTTTCCCTCTGTGGTGGCTTGACCTCATCCCCACTGCCGGTGCAGAGCCTCAGCCAAAAGCCTGTAGGTGCACGGTGCAAAGCTTTAGGCCCCCACAATGTGCTCTGTGCTCACCCACCTGCTGTGTCAATCCCTGGCTCGCTGCATCCACTCCCTCTCCATTCCCCCTCCTGCTCTTTCACAAGCTTTACCCATCTGCATTTCTGCTTAGTTCTCCTGCTTGTTTTACAATACCTGGAATACAAGGTGTCCTCTGCCAGCAGTGCCACAGGCTCCCAGGCTCCGCCTAAGCGGAGCTGTGCTGGGGATGAAGGGCTGGGGGGAGCATAGCCTTGCAAACAAGTGGGGCTCCTCCTCCCTCACTCCTTGAGACTGACATCCCAAATCACCTGCACACAGGTACCATTTCAACAGCTGCCAGCCCCGGGCTTGCCAGCCCCCTGCCCAGCCCTGCCACAACCCCCTTTGCCCTACTAGAATCATTTATGCAGGTTTGTTTCCAGAAACCAGGAAATAAAGAGGAGCACAAAGACATTATTGCTCTGAGCCTAAATGTGGTATAAAATTTCTTCAAAGCCTCAAGCTGAGAATGAGAGAGCGAGATCTGGCAGGTCCTGCTCTGCTTGCCCAGGCTTACAGCTTTCACTCTGCTTGCCACAGCCTCGGGGCCAGTGTTGAGCCTGCTCTGGATTTGGTATCCCCAGGGCCAGGACTGTAGGCTTAGGCTGTATTCTAAGGACCAACACTCAAGTTAGTCTTAGGGCTGGCTCTGCATCTGGAACAAGGTCTCAGGCTGGTTTTGGGGTTGTGTTCACAGTGGAAGATAGCTTTGGCTGGGATTCTCCCATTCTGCACGTCAGTGGTGGATGCTGGCATGGGAGACCATGACTTTCTGTTTGCTGTCAGGTCTGCTGTCCTCCTGGAGAGTGGCTGCACTCATCTTTGTCACAGGGATTTCTCTTTTCTTGGTGCTCAGCCACGGCTGGGTGCCTTTGCATGCCATGACCTGTGCAGCACTGGCTTCCACACACCATCCACACACCATCTCTCCCATATGGTCTTGGCACCAATGATGCCAGTTCTACAGCCTGTTTCTGGTGCTGCATCCTCACCAGGTGTAGCAACTCCTGTGCTGTCAGGGCACTAGGGGATGATGCCACAGGCAGTAGCAGTGCTTTCTGCCATTACATTGCACTACAGAAGCACTGAGTCCCAGCACTCAGAAAACACACAGGGACACTGATCCCATCAGGATGTCCCTTCTTACATGTGCCAGCATTCTTATTTGTAGGTTAGAGAGTGGAAAGAACAGCCCAGCTTAGGCTGGACACAGCCAGTGGCAATGGCACAGTGATGTCTATGCAGTGGCTCAGCAGTGGCTTGGCAGCGACAATGGCACAGTGATGGTTTGGCAGTGGCACAGTGGTGGCTCCCTGTGGCTTGGCAGTGGCAATGGCACAGTGGTGGCTCGGCAGTGGCCCCGGTGCAGCACGTGCCGGTGGCCACTAGAGGATGGTGCTGCCTTGTGGAGGGCCACACTGCAGATGGGCTGGCACCACTGGGCCACCGTGCCCAGCCACAGCCCCCTGCTCCCCAATAGATTCACAACCTGTGGTGGGCTCAGCATCTTCCTCATCCACCCCTGGACAGTGCTGAAAGCCTCTTGTGCATCACTGACCCCGCAGGACACCTTCATCACTGAGGGTCTGTTGGCTGTGAGGTACCTGTCTGAGGCTTCATTTCCTCTGTTCATTCCTGTATCTCTCTACCTTCCATCAGAGTGTCTAGTCCTCATGGGTGCTGGACGTGCTTCCCCTCAGACTGAATTCGGATGGTGGTTCCTGCACATTGCTTGGGCAGCAGCAAAACCCAAAGGGCAGAGCAGGTTCATCTCCTGGTTGGAAGCAGGGTTTGCAGACCCAGATATCTGACCTAGTTCTTGCCCTGGAAGAACTCTAGCCCTAGGGACAGCTTTGCTGTGGAGGGATTGATAGCTGCAGCCCTCCCTGACCCCTTCCAACTGACCCTGTGCTGCCAACGCCTGCAGGGGCAGGAAGGAGTTAAGCCTGCAGGGACTAGTAGAGCAAAGGCTTTGTCCTTTCAGCACTTCCAGAAAAAAACCCTGTGTATGGGTGGGGAAGCCACTGGCCCAGCAGCTGTTGGGAGGCAGAGACAGGCATTGCGGGGCAGTCATTGCACAGAGCATTCTGAACGTTCCTGCCCCTCATGCTTCCCGGCAGTGCTGCCAGCAGAGCCTGCCACACCTCAGTGTTCACTATCAATGCCTCATCATCCATGTCCTACAGGGGACAGCCAGCTCTGTCCCCCTCCAGGCAGCAGCGAGGCCACAGGAGCAAGTGTGACCAGAGACAGGGGACCGGAATGCTGTGCCTAGTGGGAAGCACAGGGACAGAGAGGAGCAGCTGGGGGAGTTGGGAGAGTTGAGCTGTGCTCACTCCAGGGTCTGGGCAGGGCAGGAGCTCATCAAGACCTCACAAGGCATCCTGCACTTCTGTCTATCCATTTCCTGCTCCTCTTGCTCCTTATGAGATGATTGCCTGGAGCTAAGTGATAATTCAGCCCATCAGGACTCCCCCACAGGGAAGGATGGTGGGAGACTTTTCCTGGGGTGCTGGCACATGTTCCTGGAGGTAAATCCTGACATCTGCATCCATTAAAGCACCAAAACCTTTCCCCATCTGCCCAAGTGATGGCAGTGATGCTTCAGCCTGGCCGGAGGGGCTGAAGAAGACTCCAGCCCTACCCATGTGCTGGGAAGCCCGGACACAGACCAGCCTGTCACCAGCTTTGCTGCTTCTCACTCTGATGTCTCCCTGTCCCTTATCTGTCCTTTCAGGGAGCCGCGGAAAATCATCCTGCACAAAGGCTCCACTGGCCTGGGCTTCAACATTGTTGGAGGGGAAGACGGTGAGGGGATCTTTGTGTCCTTCATCCTGGCTGGAGGCCCTGCTGACCTCAGCGGGGAGCTGCGGAGGGGAGACCGCATCCTCTCGGTGAGTAGGTGGGGCACCCACTGCCCCTCCATGGCCTCCCCCAGCCCCGGGAGGACACCTGTCTCCTGCCACCCCAGCAAGACGCAGCTCGATGGGATGCACGCCCAGTG